GATAACGGGGACCGTCTACTGCAACTTTGCACAGACCACAACCTGTTTCTGGCTAGCACTAACTTTCGGCACAGTCATCGCCGATGTGCCACCTGGCGTCCTCCCTCTGCATCTCAAGCCTGGACTCAGATTGATCACATCGCGATCAGCTACCGCTGGCGTGGTTGTGTAAAAGACTGCCGCTCCTTTTGGAGTACCTATCTGGACTCTGACCATGCCTTGGTCTGCGCCAATCTTGCCTTACTTTTCAGTGGACAACGAAGTGAACGCCATCAGCGGATTGATGTTAGCAAGCTGGTTGCAACTTCTGTTGCAAGTAAGTATCGAACCGAGCTAGCCTCTAGGCTAGCTACCACTCCACCGAAAAGTATAGATGAGCATTGGTTGCAATTGCATGACGCCATGAAAATGGCGGGAACAGTCAGTTGTGGGTTTGCGAAACGTCCCGCTTTTAAGCACTGGGTTTCTTCTGGTTCCTTACAACTCATTGAAGCCCGTCGGTCTACTCCGGGTGACCGTGAGTTTGACCATAAACGAAGGATGTTACGTAAGGAAATCGGGCAAAGCTTGCGTAAGGACCGAGAAGCCTGGTGGTCGATGCGTGCTAATGAGCTGGAAGCAGCAGCTGCATCTGGTAACTACCGGAAGCTCTTCCAACTCATCCGAGCCACTGGCAGCAAGAAGTCTGGTGTGAGTGAAACAATCTGCGAGGGTGATGGGATGCCAATCACTAACATCCATCGACGTCTTGGACGATGGGCAGAATTTTTCGAAGGGCAGTTCAACTGGCCTGCTGCTCCGGCAACATCGGTCAGACTGTCCTGCCCTCCATGGCCGGTGACGACTGATCCACCAAATGAGGAGGAAGTCCGCAAGGAACTCCAACTCTTGAAGCGTTACAAATCACCTGGCCCAGATGACTTACCTCCGGTTCTTTTTAAAGATGGTGGTGACTTTCTAGTTAAGGAACTGATAACGTTGTTTACAAAGGTCTGGGAGCTAGAGAGGGTACCAACGTCATGGAATGAGTCGATAGTTGTCCCTATCTTTAAAAAGGGTTCACGTCGTTCTTGTAACAACTATCGGGGGATAAGTTTACTTCCGATTGCGTCCAAGCTATTGGCTTCCGTCATTCTTCGTAGGTTGTTCAAAACCCGAGAAAGATTGACTCGCGAGGAGCAGGCTGGGTTTCGTTCTGGTCGAGGATGTATTGATCATATCTTCACCCTCCGCCAAATGTTAGAATACCGCCATACTTATCAAAGGCCAACAATCGTAGTGTTTCTTGACATCAGGTCTGCCTTCGATTCGTTGGATAGGACTGTTCTCTGGGATTGTCTATTGAAGAAGGGTGTGCCTGAGAAGTTTATTAACATCCTAAAAGCCCTGTATAAAAACACCTCAGGCAGAGTGAGGGCATACAACCACCTCTCTCCATTGTTCCATTCGAGCAGTGGGGTTAGGCAGGGTTGCCCAATCTCACCATTCCTCTTCAACTTTGCCATCGATGACATTCTGGAAACAGCTCTGATGAATGTAAGTAATGGTGGTGTGGATCTGTTGCCTGGAGAAAGACTTCTCGACCTTGAGTATGCGGACGATATTGTCTTACTGTGCGATAATGCCCAAGGCATGCAATCCGCACTTAATCAGTTGGCAATCAATGTCCGTAGGTATGGTATGTGCTTTGCACCTTCGAAGTGCAAAGTACTTCTACAAGACTGGCAGGATTCCAATCCTGTACTCACCCTGGATGGTGAGCAGATAGACGTAGTTGAGAAGTTCGTGTATCTGGGTAGCTGCATAAGTGCTGGTGGGGGTGTGAGTGATGAGATCAATGCACGAATAGTGAAAGCCAGAGCGGCTTATGCCAATCTGGGCCACCTTTGGCGCCTTCGTGATGTTAGTCTGGCTGTAAAAGGTCGGATCTACAACGCGACGGTGAGAGCAGTTTTGCTCTATGCTTGTGAAACCTGGGCTCTCCGAGTTGAGGACGTTAGACGACTCTCTGTGTTCGATCATCGCTGTCTCCGAAGGATTGCTGACATTCAGTGGCAACACCAAGTCAGTAATGCAGAGGTTCGGCATCGTGTGTTCGGGCACAGAGATGATAACTCAATTGGTGTCACCATCTTGAAACACCGACTTCGGTGGCTTGGACATGTTCTCCGAATGTCGTCCCAGAGAATTCCACGTCGTGCATTATTTGCCGACTCTGGGACTGGTTGGAAGAAGCGGAGAGGTGGTCAGTGCATGACATGGTGTCGTGGCATGAAAGAAAGCTGCAAAGGACTGGCTTGTGTTGGACCTTCACGACTCCCTGGTTGGGGTCCGAGAGATGGCGCTACACAGTGGCTAGAGACGTTATCAGATATGGCTCAGAATAGAAGCCAGTGGCGATCCTGCTGTAACCTTCTTTTACTTTCTTCATAAAAAGTGGTTGTATCTTCCTTAACTGAAAGATTTCTTCTGATTGTACCTCTTCGTCATTACTCTCTCTTTCTTTTGCGTTCCTTAGTTTTTTTTTTCTTCTTTTTTTTTTCTTTCTACTTCTCTTCGAATTCCCATTGTTTTGTGTGGCGCATATATATTGGCGCTCTCTTGTACCAATATTTATGTGTTCAAATAAATAAATAAATAAATAAATTTATGTGTTGTAATAAAGCTAATGCAATTGAGGTTCCTATCAGTTTGCAATCGAATAACGTTATCTATGACCCTACTTCTAAGTTTACCCAATCTATCTACGGTGCATTAAAGTCGCCTATTATAACGCTTTCACCCCTATTACACCAGGACTTAAGTTTGCTTGGGAGGAAGTCATCTACTACACATTCTGGACTACGATATACTACAACTAATTCAATATCTTGCCGCCTACATTTCAGCTTGCAACGCACCAGTTCACGTCCCTGAATCATGTGCCAATGTCCCAACTGCTCGTATGGTTAAGGTACTTTTCGTGTACAGGATAACCCCGCCTCCTCTATGATTCAATCTATCAACCCTATTGAATAAAAAACCAGCCAATTGAATTTCATTATCGAAAACTTCTGACGTTAACCATGTTTCTGAAACAGCAATAACATCTAGTTTTTCTTTATCCACCATTCAGAACACGATTGAACAGGAAAAAGATTATATTCCAAATAACAAGGTTAAATGGGAGTAAGAAGCACAATAGAGAAAACGTTAGTATATTTGTAGTTTTTACATGAGAAGATTCTAGAGTATTCTCCAACTATCGACTAATGCTGATTGGATGAGAATTAGCTAATCAGCGTGCACCAAAGCAATCGTGCATTGAGCATGCCTTAGTCTAGTCTATGTCCCGCTAACATCTATAAAGCTTACAGATGCTAACTCCTGAAACTGTTCCTGCGAGTAGCTTGTTTATCAAGGACTTAATATGACTGAGGTAGTGCTCAAATCTGGCTTTTGGTTCTTTATCGGAAGACTCTTAACTTATGAAAAATGACTGACCTCTCAGCGAAGTCCGTTTTAACACGCTGTGGAATTTTTGTTCCTGAAATCGTCTCTTCCCTGCAATCCGAATCCAATTCAGCGTCAAACACAGAGGTTACATTCTGTTTTCTTACTTTTCTTTCCCTAGGGGTGACAAAGTTACTAATCTACCTTATTTTGTCTCTTGATCACATCCTCTACACCTCTCAGATTTGGCTCTCTCTTAGTTTGTATTGCATTGATATGTGAATCCCGAACTGAAACCGTAGATTCACATGCCTCAGTACTGTCTATAGGTAGTTTCTTCTTAGCGCGCTTTTTCTTTTTTCTTGTGACGAGGCCTACATTCATATGCTTATATACTTCTCTGATTGAGTCCACCTTTATGGTCTCATTTAGACCTAAAGCTGGGCTCATGATAACGCTTTCAATTTCCTCGAAAGCGGAATTCTGTTCATCTACTTCTGCTTGTTTATCTGAGGGCAATCTTCTAGCTATATTTAGCAGCTTAATCACCTGTAGAATCAGCAGACTTTGTAGAGCAACATTCTTTGCACAACCAAGGTGACAATGGCTTGCAGCACCGTATATTCATTCGATGTGAGTCCGGTGTACACATTGTGATACCACTTATTACAGTTATCACATCGCGTCCCATCGTCGACAGGGAAATAGCATACCAGTCTGCTACAACGATGTTTCAATTGCGCCATAAATTTGTTTTATGTTTATGTATAAGAAAAATAAATGTACCTAACAACAATGAAAAAACCTACTTCTGTAGTTACAAAAATACCTTAACACCTATGAATGCAAACAATACTCAAAGTTATACTCAATGATGAAGAATAAATATCAGTGCTTTTGGTTATTTTGTATCTGTACTCATAAAGTACAGATGATAAACTTCTCTAGAGAAAAAGCGGTACTCTTGGGGATTACCTTAACTGAAATAAATTCAGTTAAAGCAAAAACAGCAGTCTTGGTGCATAATTTAACGATTAATACTATTAAATATACTCGCAGCAAAAATTCCACTGTTCTTTTTCAATAGCGCGCCACCTTCGTCAGATACCTCTGACTTTAATGTCAGGCACTCGAAAGCCACTGCGGATGAAAACTAATTAATACACTGAGTACTTTAAGTAAATATTTTGACCTTGTGACAACGATTACTAACTAGTTAGTAATTCTCTAGGTGTCTTTCTCTTAATATTTGCTAACTACATCGCAAGAGATTAACGAGTCTACTAGATGGTCTGCAACATGTGTAAATTTAAATTAATTTTGCCTTTTCGATCATCTATTATTTCTTATTTTAGAGACGATTTGATTTTTGTGTTCCATGAAATATCAATAGAAGTGGGTAATTATATAATCAGTCTTCTCAAGTCGACTGTTAGACCCATCTATTTATAATGTTATATATATATATATATGAGTTAACAAATTTCTAAATGTCATTTTGATTCAAAGAAGTAAGAGTTGTTTATCATACATTAAACTCATTATCACTAAGCTCCCAATTTTCGTTAATGGAGTTCCCTAATCTAGGAGCTAACTGTTCAGTGCCAACTTGTCGAATGCTTGGTACGTGTGAATTCCCAAGTTATACTATTCTAGATTTCTTACCCGTTCGATGTTCTGGATGTCATGGTGTTTTCTGCAAGAATCACTATCTGTACGATAGTCACAACTGTAAAAGTCCCGATCTTAAGGATAAACAGGTTCCTGTGTGTCCCTTGTGCGGAACCATAGTCCCTCTGAAACCAGGCGAGCTTCCAGATGTAAAAGTCGGAAACCATATCGACACAGATTGTCGGTCAAAGCCAGCTTTAGAGTTAAAAGGAAAGGTTAGTGGTCCATTATTTCTGACGTAATGTTTATAATGCTCCGATTTTATACTGTCCTCAATAAGATTTGTTTTTACTATGGCATTAGATGCATAATTGTCTACTGCTACCTCAGTGTGTGTCAATTCGGTTAGAATGAGTTATAAGCATACAGTAATACATTTAGACATAAAAGTCATCAACTCAGTCTGTCAACAAACTTTTTTAGAGGAATCATAGATTTTAGGCCTAGTGGTGCTAAGTAAGTATGAAGAATTGGATGGTGAGGTTGTAAATCTTTATTAATTAAGATATCCAGAATAAGTGTTAGGCATGCATAGTTTTTGTCTAGAGTCTGCGAAATAACCATGTTCTGTAGTTAGAGACAACATGATATCCAAAATCGACCCCATTGGTGCGGATGCTATAACTTTATCCTCTTGTGTGTTTGGAACACATTGTTTGTCTGTATTCTGCATTTACTTTGTTTGAAAACACAACAGTACGGTGTCAAAATGTTGAAATACTCCCAGTTAATTTGAGGTTGATTTCAAAAAGAGCATTGTAAATTTTGACTAATAATCACCGAATTATTATTTCTACCTTTGCAGGAATTTCCATAACGTAACAGTTTCTATTGTAAGAGAGTTTTTAAAGGGTTACCTACCGTAGCCTATAAACTAGTGTGGATGAGTTTATGGCATTTAAATTCAATTTCTGTTGGCAAAATTCCGGTCTGTTAGAGTCGTATGTAATAATATTGGTCAGTTGTGTGTGTCGTTGTTATGAAATAATACTCCACGGTCATTACATTCACATTCATGGTACTAATTGAGTTGATTTTAGTGTAAAATCTTGAATCACAGTTGACTTCCTGAAAATTAGTGAATTCCGGGAAATATCACCACCGGGTGTTTCATATATAACCAATTTTTTAGCTACTTGATTAACATTCGAAATGTTATTCTCACTTCTCACTTCAAACACTATGGTATTCTAAATATTGAAGACTGTTCGATTGAAGGAAAGATCAACCTTTATGTATTAGAAGCCATAACAGTATGTGACGATATAGACTGGCTAATGATGGGTTGAGACTTTGATCTAACTGTTGTTTTGTGTAACGTCTATGAGATTTTGTCATGCAATTACTCATCACTGTCTGCTTTGTTATTGGGTAGTGAAAATTTCAGTACACTGTAAGACCCATCAATATGCGTTGCAGACACAGCATAAAATGCTATTGACCATAGAAAATTATCTCGAAAGACATGATAGCTTGCTCACATGTTACCCACACCGCTTCAGCTAATTTAATTGTTGTTTGGACGATGCAAAGCCATAATCTGTTCAGTGTCTGGAGTGAGATGAAGAGTAGTTTTCCCAGGCTAGTTTCCGCTGTTACGTTCATACTAAGGTTGCAGGAACTATGAAGTCAGTGGCTTAAAATGTTGGGAATAACTCGAGATCATTGTCAACGGAGATTATACCGTAGGTTGTCTTCTTTGCAGGATGAGTCCGGTAAACTATGCACCGATAAGTCAAACATTTAGTTACGCTCCCATTTGTTTGTTTCTTATCATTAATCTTAATCTGTTTCGCTCATTTTCATAACATGTAGTAGTCTTACTTTTCTTGACATTCATCTGGTTGTTTAAATTCCTAAAAAGTCTCAGTTTTAGAAATTATACTTACCGAGAATTATCTATAGTGATATTATTGTTGTTATCTATAATTAGAGATTAAGTGTTGTTAACCATCCTTATAAACTTTGATCAATTACACTAGCATACATAACAGAATTTTATCCAATCCTCTTGAAAATACAAACTGTCGGAAACAAGACCCCTTTTTCTGAATCTCTGACATGATAGTAAAATAATTAGTGAATGTAAACAGTTCAGTTTCCTCAAATGGATCTTTATAGATGAAGAAAGTTATCAAGCCTGTTGACAAATGGTTTAAATAACTTTCCTGTATCCAAGTCATACTGATTTAGTTAGTGGAAATTCACATACTAAGTGGCATATTTTGCTTGGAAATGCAGGGAGAATATATGCGAAACAGAGTAATAAGTTGTAAAAGTAAATCATTAACGCATAAACACTACTTACTTCGGTTTTAGTCTTAAAGACATTTAAGCTAGAAAAATGATTATACTGTAAGTTTCTTCAAAAAGTTTTGTTGAACACAGAATCTATATTTCGCAAACAAATTAGACAACTGTGACTGATAAAAGGAACCACTAGATGACACTAGTTACAGAAACAAAGATGTTTTCAAATAAACAAACCGGCCATTCAATATACAGTTGTCTCATTCTTGAAATTCAATGAAGTCAAAGTGACAAAATCGTGTCAGGAGTCAGGTGAATGTAATCAATTCCTATAAGTAATAAATATAAAAAAATTACAACCATAATTCAGTTTGAATTTTTGATTGGATTGATTATTGGAGCAGTGATTTAGTGGTCAACTCTGTCCAAAGCCCCAGTAGGGTTACTTCTGACTCCAAGTCCGGAAAATCTAGGCATAAAGATAGCGACCCCGTCCCGTAAAAACCTTTCCTGTAAAAATGCTAACTGAAAAAGTCATTTTAACTATTTAAAATCTGTCCTGAGAGTTGAACGATCATTTTAAAAAGTTATGACGCCTCATGGTGAAAGCTGAGGTTCTCCGAAAATCACGAGGCCGATGCCCTTCTGACAACCAGAGCAACAATTAATATGAGTACGCTGAATGTCCGGACATAAATGTGTGTATATTTGTGTTTTGTTCTCAGTTGAGATTACATAATTTTGTTCTCTTCTTTGTTTGTAGTTATTCACAAATGCTTGCTGTGTCCCACGATGTAAAAAGAAAGAACTTATACCTTTTGTTTGTGATAGATGCAAATTAAATTTCTGTGTTTCGCATCGTAATGAATTAGATCATGATTGTAAAGGATTTCAACAAAATCTGAATAATTCTAGAAAGTTGTCAACTTCTGGTGCAGCAGCTCTTTATAGAGCTATCTTTAGCAATTTCAATACAAATTCGACTTCGAAGGTGAATTTTTTTGTTCTGTTTGCATATATGTATGTGAAGGTTGGAAAGGGTAATTTTATTTGTCATTTTAACTATAAGTATAATTTATAAATCAACCTTCTTCTTTTTGCATTAAAGTACCACATGTGAAAGTTTGATTATTTTGCCTACAAACATAATCTAGTCGATAAACAAATGATTGGAATGGAGTATATTATAAGAAAGTTGTTTCTTATCATACCTGACAGATTGGGATGTAGTCTTGAGTGCCGTTAAAGGTATGACATGGCTCAGAATCGGTCACAATGGCCTAGGTGTATACACTCTGTCTTCCCTTAAACTATGAGATCAAAATTGCTTTATATCTTTCTTTTTACGAACTGATTCTTTCTTCATGTACTATATCTTTATATAGAATCTTTATTTTATATATTACCACCATTGAATTAACTACTTCTGTGAATCCGGTTTTAATCTTGTTGTGCTAATGAGTCAGTGTGGCGACTTGGGCCGGTGCACATATGTGCCTGGTCCTAGGTTGTAGGTGACTGGCTGATTGGGATGTAGGAATCTGTACTACAAACATATTCGGCCATAGCCTCTTATTTATATAGACAGATAAATCCTGGTACAATTGGGCACCGAAAATACGGCACACAAATAAAGTCACCATGTTGTGAAGAAATAAAGAGAAGAATAGTACAGTCAATAAATAAGTGAACATCAACAGTACGTAATCAGAAATCCAGCTCAGTTGAAAATCAAACCAAGATAAACTCTCAGTGAAGGGGTTCCGTGTCACTTGTATGAAGATTGTTACAGAAGACTAAAATAGGGTCGCCACTGGTCTTTATTCCGAGTCGTATGCGATAACGTTTCGAGTCATTGTATTCAACAATTTTCAATGCCCCAACCTGTGAGTCTTGATGAACCAATAGACTCCATCTCTGTAAGTTATCTTCCATTCCACAGTGCTATGTCGTAAACTGACCGTTTCTTTGTTTTTTTTACCCAATCCTACCGTCGAGAAGTAATGTGCGATATCTAAGCCGCTTGGGTAGAATTTGTAAAGGATGACTGAGCTACCGAAACTGATGCTTAAATATTGTGGGACCAAATAACATAACATAGGCATTGCTAACATTGTCGCCGCTAGATGTAAACGATTCTTCTGAAACAAAATTGATCGGACAAAGCCGTCGGAGATCCTCATCTCGGAAGCCAGGTGTCACAAGTATAATGTGAAAGTGTTGTAAAACCGACCTTATACAACCAGACTAACGTTATAACGACATCAGAGATGACCCAGGTCGACATTAATCTCTCTAACTTCCACTATATGTAGACTGATTTCATCAATCACTCCACAACCAACATTCACCTAACTATACACATGCATCTCTGTTGGATCATTGAGATTTTTTGATTGGGTAATGTTTGGTCAGTCAGCTACAACGTAGGACCAGGCACATATGTGCATCGGTCCAGGTTGCCATACCGCATCAGCACAACAAGATGAACACCGGATTCATAACAGTGGTTAGGTCAAAGGTAGTAATATATAAGAGAAAGATTGCATATAGAGATATAGTACAAGAAGAAAGAATTGGTTTGTAGAAAGAAAGATATGAAGCGATTTTAATCTCTTAGTTTAAGGGAAGACAGGGAGTGTATACACCGACGCCATTGTGATCGATTCTGAGCCATGTCACCAAGAGTCTCCAACCATTGGTTACGATAGTCACGCGGACCCCAACCAAGTAGTCTGCATCTACCAACATGGCTCAGACTAGAAGTTAGTGACTTCAAGCACTGATGCCACGTTTTGGTTTGGCCGCCCCTAACTTTCTTCCAACCGTTTCCAATACCGGATAGCATTGCACGTCGTGGTAATCGGTGTTCAGGCATACGTAACACGTGGCCCAACCATCTCAGTCGATGAAGATTCATAACCTCATCAACTGATTTACCATCATTCCCTAATACCCTGCGTCTAACCTCACTATTACTTACCCGGTGATCCCAGCAGACGCCAGCAATATTTCTAAGGCATCTGTGGTCAAATACTAATAGCTTACGAGTGTCTTCTACTCTTAATGGCCATGTTTCGCTGCCGTAAATTAAAACAGAACGGACTGCCGCGCAGTATACTCGTCCTTTTATTGATAGACGGATATCTCGCCTTCGCCATAGGTGACGCAAGTTGGCAAAAGCCAATCGAGCTTTTCGAATCCGTGCTGAGATTTCGTCCGATACCAACGCATTGGGGCTGATCAGACTTCCAAGATAAGTGAAGTTGTCAACGCGTTCGACTACTTCACTCCCTATCCTTAGTTCAGGTGTTAACGCAGACCAGTCCTGAAGCAACAACTTGCATTTAGAGGGAGAGAAGCGCATTCCAAACATCCTGGCATTGTTGCTTAGTGCTACCAGAAGACTCTGCATTTTGTCAGCGTCTTCACCAAACAGGACTATGTCATCTGCGTATTCTAAGTCGATAAGTGGACCTCCTGGTAAGAGATCAATACCCGAGAACTCAGTCGACGAGAAAGTTATTTCCATCAGTAAATCTATGATGAAGTTAAACAAAAATGGGGAAAGTGGACAACCTTGACGGACACCACTTGAGGTTGCAAAAGTAGATGACAGTTCACTATAAGCTCTGACTCGACTGGTAGTGTTCGAGTAAAGAGCCTTTACAAGGTTTATGTACTTCTGGGGTACGCCTTTCAATGACAGACACTGCCACAGAATCTCGCGGTCTACCGAGTCAAATGCTGCTTTTAAGTCAAGAAAGACCACCATTGTCGGACGTCGATAAGTATGCCTGTGTTCTAGAATCTGACGAATGGTGAATATGTTTGGTAGCTTAGAAAGGCTGTCGACAACTAATGAGGTAGTCATTTAAGTTTATTACTTTAATTTATATGTAAACTAATGATTGAGCTGCTTCCACATTGATTGTATGATGTATATCAAATCACCTGGTGTCCCGTCGAAGCCTAGCTTGCAATTCTAAGCAAACAGAATCTTGTCATCAATTGTGAAAGACTCAGTGATTATGTGATCAAATGAACAGTATTTTCGTAATGGTAATTTAATATCTCCACCCTTTCTTTCATGAGAAAAATTAAATAAGTTTGACAACGAAACTACTCATTTTATAATGTTATGTTACCAAACAGCAAACTTCCTAGACTGTTAGATCGGAATATTTCAGATGAAGCGTGAAGAGTGACTAGCCAGTCCTTCTCAAGTCAGTTTTTTTTATACAGTTGATTGGTCTTAGTGCAAGTGAAAATGATCAGTTGGTTGCTATTTAATGCCTTTAAATTTTCACAATGCGAATTTCAATTGTGTGTTCTTCTTGTCACATTATCCTTCCGAAATGGTCTCTTTTTGATAATTTGTAGAATGTATCGCCAACAAACACGATTCACTCATCATCACCTGTTGCTACTTCACTGCCATATAGTGTGAATTCCCGTGAACTTCAGGAAGAAGAAGATTTACAACTGGCTTTAGCATTATCTGAATCACTTTCCAGTCGAACATCTCATTCACAACCATCTAGAACAACACGTCATAATACCCCTTCAAAATCGTCGTGTAATATTTCTTAATTTATTTCCTATTTCTGTGTATAGAGTAAACTCACTTTACGCCTCAGGTTATATATGTTCATGTACTAATTCTTTGAAATACAAGATTGTGATTATGTTTTTCTTTCCTGGTAATATTTAAAAAACAAACATGTGTCGTGATTTTACAGCTTACTTTTTTTGACCAACACAGATTTTTATTTATAAAGAAGTGATGTAATTTACTGTTTCAATTTGTTCTAGTCAGAGTTCAATATTATCCCCTTATTATTATTATCTATATTCAGTGTGGGAATTGTGTACAAGCTTGAGTGTGATGATGATACTGAATTCTTTCTCAAATAGAGTTTATTTTCCAAGCTTTTTCTAGATTATTTCGATTCATTTGTGGAACCTATCAATGGTGATTAGGGCAAAGCGAATACAGCATTCCGACTTCCTATTCAATTTTGAAAATGAAGAGGACTGTCAGCCAACAGCAAAGTCAGAGGTTCCAACACAGACGTAAAGACAGTTCTGTTGTGTGGGACTAAAACTTGTAGAACTACTACAACCATCATGAAAATCTTTCAGATTTTTACAAACAGTTATCTACACAAGATGCATCATATCGGTTGGCCGGGTATGAACAGTAACTACCTGTTGTGGTAGAGAACGGACCAGCCTCGATCTGAGGAGGTAATTAGGAAAAGACTTTAGAGGTGTGTAGAACACATTGCAGAAGTCATCAAACTGAATCAGAAAGCAAGCTTTAATATGGAATCGTGAAGGAAGATGAAAAGGCGCAGACCAACGACACATTGCGCCGTGAACTGGAGGCAGACAACAAGAGAATGGATAGCGCTTTGCGACAATTATAGAGGAGAATCTAGGACATAGTTGGTTAGTGAATAATGGTCAGCGAGCCATGCTGCATGAGGGATAATAGAGGTAAAGAGGCAAATGTAATTTTATTTATTTATTTGAACACGTAAATATTGGTACAAATGGGCACCAAATATATATGCGCCACACAAAATAATGAGAATGGGGAGAGAAAAAAAAAGAAGGTAAGGTGCGTACAAGAAAAAAAAACAATAACAACCACAGATTAGTGTAGTAATAATAGTAATAATGAGGGAAACGGAAAGGTACGACCAGAGGAATTCCCTCAGTTAAGGAAGATACAACCATTTTTTATGAAGAAAGTAAAAGAAGGTTACAGCACGATCGCCACTGGCTTCTATTCTGAGCCATATTTGATAACGTCTCTAGCCTCTGTGTCGCACCATCTCAGACCGCAGCCTGGGAGTCGTGAAGGTCCAACAGAAGCCAGCCCTCTACAACTTTCTTTCATACCACGACACCATGTCATACACTGACCACCTCCGCTTTTTCCAACCAGTTCCAGAGTCGGCAAATAATGCACGACGTGGAATTTTCTGAGACGACATTCGTAGAACATGTTCAAGCCACCGAAGTCGGTGTTTCAAGATGGTGACACCAATTGGATTATCATCTCTGTGACCGAACACACGATGCCGAACTTCTGCATTACTAACATGGTGTTGCCACTGGGTGTCAGCAATCCTTCGGAGACAACGATGATCGAACACAGAGAGTCGTCTAACGTCCTCAACTCGGAGAGCCCAGGTTTCACAAGCATAGAGCAAAACTGCTCTCATCGAAGCGTTGTAGGTCCGACCTTTTACAGCCAGACTAACATCACGAAGGCTCCAAAGATGACCCAGATTGGCATAAGCCGCTCTGCTTTTCACTTTACGTGAATTGGTATTGTCGCTGATATCACTACCAGCACTTATGTAGCCACCTAGATACACGAACTTCTCAACTACTTCTATCTGCTCACCATCTAGGGTGAGTACAGGATTGGAATCCTGCCAGTCTTGCAGAAGTACTTTGCACTTCGAAGGTGCAAAGCACATACCATACCTACGGACACTGATTGCCAACTGATTAAGTGCGGATTGCATGGCTTGGGCATTATCGCACAGTAAGACAATATCATCCGCTTACTCAAGGTCGAGAAGTCTTTCTCCAGGCAACAGATCCACACCACCATTACTTACATCCATCAGAGCTGTTTCCAGAATGTCATCGATGGCAAAGTTGAAGAAGAATGGTGAGATTGGGCAACCCTGCCTAACCCCACTGCTCGAATGGAACAATGGAGAGAAGTGGTTGTATGCCCTCACTCTACCTGAGGTGTTTGTATATAGGGACTTTAGGATGTTAATAAAGTTCTCAGACACACCCTTCTTCAACAGACAATCCCAGAGAACAGTCCTGTCCAACAAATCGAAGACAGTCCTGATGTCAAGAAACACTACGATTGTTGGCCTGTGATAAGTATGACGGTGTTCTAACATTTGGGGGAGGGTGAAGATATGATCATATGATGATTAGGAGTATTTGAATTATAGTATAATCTAAGAATCCCAGAAATAACTCATTTGAATCAAGAAGTACTAGACAAGCACGAACGAATGTACTGTATTTGAAATTCGAAATCAAGCATTCAACAAGTAGAAAGGAATCATCAGTTCATTCAAAAACCACAGATCAATACATCGTCGATCAGAACAAAAACCAGCCTGCTCCTCGCGAGCCAATCTTTCTCGGGTTTTGGACAACCTACGAAGTATGACGGAAGCCAATAGCTTGGACGCAATCGGAAGTAGACTTATTTGCCGATAGTTGTTACAGGAACGACGTGAACCCTTTTAAAAGATAGGGACAACTATCGATTCATTCCATGACGTTGGTACCCTCTCTAGCTCCCAGACCTTTGTAAACAACGTTATCAGTTCCTTAACTAGAAAGTCACCACCATCTTTAAAAAGAGCCGGAGGTAAGTCATCTGGGCCAGGTGATTTGTAGCGTTTCAAGAGTTGCGGACTTCCACCTCATTTGATGGATCAGTCGTCACCGGCCATGAAGGTCAGGACAGTCTGATCGATTTTGCCGGAGCAGCATGTCAGTTGAACTCCCCTTCGAAGAATTCTGACCATCGTCCAAGACGTCGATGGATGTTAGTGATTGGCATCCCATCCTCCTCACAGATTGTTTCGCTCACACCAGACTTCTTGCTGCCAGTGGCTCGGATGAGTTGGAAGAGCTTCCGGTAGTTAACAGACGCAGCTGCTGTTTCCAGCTCATTAGCACGCTTCGACCACCAGGCTTCTCGGTCCTTACGCAAGCTTTGCCCAATTTCCTTACGTGACATCCTTCGTTTATGGTCAAACTCACAGTCACCCGGAGTGGACCGACGGGCTTCGATGAGTTGTAAGGAGCCTGAAGAAACCCAGTGCTTATAAGTGGGACGTTTCGCGAAGCCGCAAGCGGCTTTACTCGCCATTTTCATAGCGTCATGCAATTGCAACCAATGCTCATCTATACTTTTCGGTGGAATGGTAGCTAGCCTAGAAGCTAGCTCGGTTCGATACTTACTTGCAACAGAAGTTGCAACCAACTTGCTGACATCAATCCTTTGGTGGCGGTCACTTCGTTGGCCACTGAAGAGTAAAGTAAGGTTGGCGCAGACCAGGGCATGGTCAGAGTCCAGATAGGTTCTCCAAAAGGAGTGGCAGTCTTGTACACAACCACGCCAGTGGTAGCTGATCGCGATGTGATCGATCTGAGTTCGGACTTGAGATGCAGAAGGGGGACGCCAGGTGGCGCATCGGCAATGACTGTGCTGAAAGTTAGTGCTGGCCAGAAACAGGTTATGGTCTGTGCTCAGTTGCAGTAGACGGTCTCCGTTATCTGTCCTGCGACCAACATGTCCTCATCGGCCACCTAAACGATTCTCTTCTGTGCCTAGACGCCCGACCTGAGCATTCAAGTCTCTGGCTAGTACTACAATATCTGTCGAACGCACTTTCTGGAGAAGAACAGATAACTGGTGGTAAAACTCATCCTTGATTGCATCCGGGCTGCAATCTGTCGGGGCATAGGCGGAGATGACGAAAAGACATCGTTCCTCACGCCGATTTCTTCTCACTTTGGTGGAACTCTCTAATCTAACAGCACATAACCGACTGTTAATGGGGATCCAATCGATTAGTGCTGCCTCAGGTCTAGCACTTAGTTCGACACCAATGCCAGCAAGACCAGACGAAGATGCCACAGAGCCCCTTGATAAACGCACGAAAGCAAGCCCTTTGAAGCGACAGATGGAGAGCGAATTTGTAGTACTTCACCAGAGTCTTGAATACGGGTCTCGGATAGACAACAAACGTCGATATTAAGACTTTCTAAAGATATAGCCAGCCCTATCTGTTGTCCAACCTGCATAAGTGTGCGGACGTTGAAGGAAGCCAGTTTGAATGGTGCACGTGGTTTCAGAGAAACTGCTTCAGTATTCGTATTTGGTGGTGGCATTCAATTTTCAACCAGGCAGTGACTTGAGGACGTTTAGATAGAACCGAGTTTCCACCATAGGCGAGCTGTTGTATAAGTCGAAAAAATAAGTATAAACAGAGTGGGGATAAAAGAGGGTGAATAACGACGTAGTTAATAATAGTAATAATAATAATAATAATAATAATAATAATAATAATAATAATAATAATAATAATAATGTGAATCGTTTGATTGTTAATCGAAGCAAGAAAGGTATTTTCCATAAATATCGACATTTCATCATATTTTTGTGTTGGCTGTGATACTGCCCGAGTGCCCAGACCAAAGAAGATGGTTTTCTTACGGGGCCACACCCCGAGCCTTTGACCTAAAGGTCTGATCCACAATGCAGTGGAGCATCGTAAGGAGATGCAGTCCCATGGTAGCCGGTGATCAACGATTGGTTCATACGCCACTTGTTCCCTCAGGATACTGGAGTTCATGTGCACCATTGGTTTGGAATCCGGTTAAAGCGCACGACATTCGCTTTTTGTCCTCTCATTTTTGTAAACAACACCCCCGCCACGAGAAGGCAGTGAGTATGACTTCCCTGGCAGATTAGGAGGAAGTTTGATTATGAATACAGTGGTCTCGTGTGCTGTTAGAGGTATGAGGGCGGTTATCGCTTCCCAGTTGCCCACACCGAGGAAGGGTTCTTCTAGAGGTACCTGAAAAGGAAATTGGATTAGAGGTGGTCTCAGTGACCCGAGAACGTGACCTCAGTGCCCAAGGGACAACTGCTTGAGGCCGGTCGCGCACGGCCTTTTCGTGGGAAGTTTTTGACTTGTTAGCTCCTTTCTTCAAAGGGCCTTACCGCCGGAGATGGAAATCCGTGAGGTAAGGTGAGGTGTGCATTTTTAGGGTCGACCTGTTTTAACCCCACCCCTCCTTGTGGGAAGGCAGCATCGCTGTC